CTTAAAACAGCACCTTTTATATCGGTGAGTTATTTTGATGGAATGGCCGATATTTAACTTTATTGCTAATATCGGCTGATACCAATACCATGCTAGTAATATTGTGCATTCCTAATACAGATTTTAAGAAAATAAACAATATAAATAACTTTTAAAATATACACTTTAATCACAGATATGTAATGACTGTACCAGAACAATCCGTGTTTTCATAGCATTAGTTTTTTTTGTTTATAAATTGTCTATAAGTAGACTGCCGTCACCATTTTATGTCAAAGGGGCAGAATAAAACCCTATAGAGATTAAACACCGTCTTAAACTGAGGCCAAAATTACTTTTGACATAATAAAATCAAGTCTAGCCTTACTTCTAATGTACATGTATTTAAAAGGAACCATAGAAAAGATTTAGTAACAATCAGGCAATAACTTAAGACAACGTGTGGGCAAAAATAAAAATCATAAAAAAGTTTTATGTGATAAATTCAACTCATGAGCAAAACATAGTCAGAGAATGCTGCAATAAAAGTAAGGAAGAGCAGCTTTGGAAGCTTTAATATCTAAGCAGAAATTAAGAAAGCATAATTATATTTATTTTTCCCACAAACTGCGATGCTTGAAAATACAACTGAATTCAAGAAGCACTGCCTGGCGGCGTACTCGAGTGTGGCATTGTGAGGAGGTTGTAAGAAAATAACGACAGAGCACATCATATGCCTCTTAACTGATGCTATTCAGCACAGATAGAAGTTAAGATTAAACACCCTAATATTAAGATTAAACACCCTAATATTTATTGTTCCAATCTCCAAATTATGCCAAAGCACATAACCCAGGAAACCATAAACTATCCCAGCACCTACAACACGTGTATGAGTCAACAGTGTCAACACACCTCCTTGTCCAGCAGCGCAGCGAGCTCATGAGCAGGTAATCGCTTAGAATCTCCTACAGCCGTGACTATTGGCACTTGCTTCTCTTCTCTTAAAGGTGTTGTCTCCACCTGATGCCACCGTTGTTCAATTTCTTCTTGGACATCTGAAGTTATGCCGTCTGTTGCATCTTCACTGTTTAGGCAGACAGAAGGATGGTCTACTTCCATGTTTCCTTGTTCGTGGCTTTCATGTATCAATGGTGCAGTGTTAAGTGTTGAAGCAACAGAAGCTGTTTTTGGCACAAGATCCACACTGGTTGTACTGTGCAACGAGTCGTCTCTCCAAACATTCTCCTTTTCTGCTTCCTCTTTCACAGCATGTGGGTGAGGACCTGATAAAGATGAGGTTTGCAGTGAGGAAGAAGACACGGGAGAGGACGCCATTGAGGAAGACGAAGAAGAGGGAGAGTAGCAGGAGGAAGCTGTAGAAAATGATGAGCTGAGGTCCACTGTGTCCGCTCGTTCTTTTGTAGGCTTTTCTTTCCGTTCCGTTTTAAATTCGGACCAGTCGAAGGTTTTTGAACGGCCATCTCGTCTGCGTTCACGAACTCCTCTTTTTCGTGGCTCAGAAGGAGGGTTGCTGCCTGGCGTAGGTTTGTGGTCATCTGATTTATGTTCCTCAACACTTGGGCTCAGGTCAGGAGTAGTCTGGGGACATGGTTCCAGCATCACATGACCTTTTATGTGTTCATCAGGGATAGATCTGAAGAAATGAAAACACAATCAATAAAAACAAGTTATAAAAACAACAGTGCCACACTTGTGGCTGTGCAGCTTCAGTAAGTTGATTTTTCAGGGTTTCTGCAGAGTCCGTTCCTAAATTTATCATATTTGAATGTTTTCTGAATGTATTATTACCTGGTTCAAAACTATACTGGCAAAAGTATGGGGTGAGCTTTATTTGTGTTGTTGTTTATGTTTAGCAAAGACAGAATCAGTGTTCCCTGCACCTGGACGAGAAGCATAATTTACATGGAATAGTCCCTACTCAAGCTGCTGCCCCCGCGACCTGACATTGGAACAAGCGAAAGATAATGGATGAATGGATAGTCCACGTAAATTAGCAATTCCCTTAACTCTCTGGCGACGTGAAGCATTGAGCTTCAAATCCAATCCTCTCTCGTATTCATCCCATTTTCAGATTGTCACTTCCACAAAGCTCCACTCAATCATAACTACATTTTTTTAAAAGTTTTAGATTTTTGAGGCGTTATCCAAAATCTTGGTGCCAGAAAATCACAAACACAAACATGAATGATAAGTGGCAAAGAAAGGGGATAAAGGATTAGATTTGAGAGTTAACTATTTCCCTAATTACTTTAAGTGCAATAAAAACGTTTGCCCGTAGAAAGCAGAAGCGTCACCAAGAACAATAAAGGAAAAACTTATTAAAACATTAACCTTTTAAGTGAACATCTTGTCCAATCATTACATGCAGGATCAATAAAGTTCTTATCTTATCTTATAACACATAAAAAAATAATGTGCCTATGATAAACAACTGCTAGACTAGAAAAACATTTAAAGCTTTTGGATATCAACTTAGAACTTCAGGAAGTTTTTTTCTTTCTGGAAATAATAAAATGTTCTGTCTGCGAACTGACTAAAGCATTTTCTACCGAAAACTAAACTTTGATTAGACAAATGTGTTTTCAGACAACACAGAGTTGGAATCTAAACTAAGAAGTCCATTAAGCTAAAATTAATTCAGGTACAATGTCTGACACTTCATGGACTCGCAAACCAAAACCACTCTTTGTTCATCCCCTTCTTAAGTTTTTTTTTTTTTTAAATACGTTTTTTTGCCAACTAAAACAAGCTAAAACCTTTTCTTTAACACTTAATAGTAACTTTTCCTTAATGATATTAAATGCAGAACTGTGTACCTGTAGTGGTGTTGCTCTTTCCCTCACCAGAACCATCGCTCACTGATTCAAGAACACCGATGTGATAAAATGGTCTTATTTAATTAGGAAAATTGCATTCTGATCCAACTGTGTCAGATTTTAATCTGAATCTTTAGTCAAGTGTTTAGGGACAATGCTGGGAAGGGGGGAAAAATGTTGATACTTTTTTATGTGACCTGCAGATATCCTGATTATAAAACACAGAATAGAGCCAAGGCAAAGCATTAACACATAAACATTAATAGAGCAGCCTGGACTGAAAGCAGCTTTTATGGTCAGAGATAAGCCTCACTGCAGACGACAGTTTTTAGCTTCTATGTTACAGCAGTTTAACAAGGAGCTGAATTTGAAGCGTTTGTTTGCTGCTTCCTCGTGCACTTCGGCACCTGTGGTGTTAAAGTGCACTGTGGCACTATGGACTAATCCACGTGAACATGGTGCAGAAGTGTCATTAAGTGTGCGGTGGGTTGGAAGAGTCAGAGCTGAAGAGCAGAAAATAAAAGTGGTTGTTAGCTTAGGCAGAAATACACAGGAAGTGTATTTTAGTGACAAACCTAAAGGAAAGGGTGTGACTCAGTATATGTGGTGTAAAAATAATATATGTAATGTGCTGCAAGCTGCTCCACCTACACAATCAGATGTTTTTACTGAAAAGCTGAGATTGAGCTTGTTCTATAAACATTTACAAAACCTCCCGAGCTGACAGTCACATTACAGTGATGATTAGCATCAGATTGTGGTGCTGGGCAGATTATTCTAGTTTGTTGACGCATGCCTCTACAGTGGTAGAACTGACATTACTCAATCACATGACATATGACTGGACCACAAACACGCCGGAGCTGACATTGCTGAGCAATTACATCACTGTTTGAGGAGGGAGAGAATTTCAACACACAAGCACTCCAACCTGGGCTTCAGAACGGACAGTTTCAGAGAGATGTTTTTCCTGGAAGCAGGTTGAAAATACCAATTGAGAGAGAGGAGAAAGAACGAAAGAGGGTGAGGAGACAGGAATCCAGATAAATAAAGTGAGAAAATCATCTGGTGCATCTGCCAGAGGATGGTGTTAATCCTGGCTGGGTATTACCGGGTGACGTCGGGGGCAACGGTGGGTCGCACATTCTTCATAATGGCCTGAATCCAATTGCGACGGATTCCAGAGGTCATAGCAGACAAGGTGCACGCTCTGTCTTTACACTGAAAACACACAGATATTTCATCTAAATGACTGGCATGATGATCAAAAAACCTTTTTAACATTGCTTATTTAAATAAAAAAACTCTTTCTACAGCTCATCTCCATCATCTAAGCAGAGACAGCTTTGTCATTTCAAATAGAAAATTAAGTTGTCTCCTATCATTGTAGCCAGTAAAATGTAAGTACATTCACTGCTAATAATTAAGTTTTAAACAAATCTTGCTAATATCTATTCAATCTTCCCTCGATTTATTACTGCACATCTTTAAGTTTGAACTATTTAATGCTAATATTTAACATTCTTTTTTATTACAGCTCGACAGAAAATAATTTGTAACCTTGCATCTCTATACGAGTGAAGCCTTTAATAAAAAGAAGCTCATGCCTTTAAAATGCACGGAGTAAAGACTGGCTTCAGAACATTAAAGCATCACAGTAGTGAGGAGAAACATTTATTTATTATTATTGTTATAATAATAAATATATATACAAAATTGTTATTGTTTATTATTTATGCTTTTATTTTGTAAAGTTGTATCTACTCTCAAATCTTCAATATTAGGGACATGAATGAAGTAGAATATTAACTCTATGTAAACTCTGATTTATTAGTGCTACTTGTATACAGTAGTCCCTCGCTACTTCGCGATTCGTTTTCGCGGACTCACTTTATTGCGGTTTTTCAAAATAAGATTGGACATAACACGCAATTGGATGATTGATGGAGGAGTCGCACAATCGGCATGGGATTTTTATTTAAAATAAATTATTTTTAATTATTTAGTGCCTGCTGTACCTTTGTGCAGCCCAGAGCTACAGAAAAAAACTTCCTCCTGCAGCTAAACAGCTGATCAGCTGTTCTCCATGTAGAACGGGAAAGTGGGTGTGGCCAAGAACGCGTGCAGGTGGTTGAGAGCAGCGGAGGCACAGAGAGGGAAATCATGACATTCTGTGCTCTTTTAGAGCGTTTAGAGTTTAGAAACATTGTTTAGAGTATTGCAAGAGTGTTGGAAGGGTTTAAAACATCTTAATATATATAAATATATATAAATACTAAAATAAACTACTACTTGTACTACTATTCCTACTTAGTGGTTTTTCACTTATCGCAGGTCTTCAGGGTACGAATCCGCCGCGATAAACGAGGGACTACTGTACTCCTAAAATACATGTATATCGCTTACCATTGTAAAATTAATCAGCTTAGAACAATGTTTGTAGATAATCAATATACTCCACTGAGTGTAATTACATCTTTGTTATTGCAATTTCAACGACAATGTTTACAAATCCACAAATGTGTGCCTTAACTTCAAAGGAAACTATTAAAAGAGTTAATCGAGTGCAGCACAGTTAACAAGAACAGTGCCGTCCAACCAGAGCACGGTGCACAGACAGCAGATATAAATACAAGGGTTAATAATTTAGACACCAAACCCATGTTGTTCTCATCCAAAGCAACAACTATCATTTTCAACACACTATTTCTGACATCCTCCTAGCTATAGCTAGGACAGCTGTGAATGTAGCTTCAAGCTAGTGTAAACAAATACAACACCCATTAGTCATTGTTCCCCTCGAACGATTAAAATGTTGAGCTTAAATACACAAAACAATATATCAAACCCAATTTTGGGATTATTTATGTTACTGAGAAACTCTAGACAAAGACTGGACTTCCTAATATGAGAGGTTAGGTAAACATATTGTGCAGGATGAAAGCCAACTTGGTTCAGGGAGACCAGAGGAACTGGCAACAGCTGAAGCAGATTTAGACCTCTGATGTAAGGCTCTCACAGAGAGACAAGTCAAGTGACATCCTTTATGACAGACAAAGAAATGACAATGTCTGACACCCACAGTTACAACACAGTGGCTGTTTATGGACTGGAAGAAGACAAGAGCGAAAATACGTAGACGACAAATTTCATATTTACTATAGATGTCAAAAAAACAACACTCACAAGGATTTGGAATCCATAATTCCTCTGGACCGGAAACTCTTTAACATCATAGCATGTGGAAAGATCAATCTCACCATCCAGTTCTGAGGCCTAAAAGAGAAAAATAAACAAAAAATTAAAACAAACTCCTACATGACCGCTATTGATTTACACAAAATCTCAGATAGACAAACCTTACCTCCTCAGCTATCGAGTCCTTATAGTACCTCAAGCTCTGGTCTGTCAGAACGAACCAGTGTTTCTTCCACTAAGGATAAAAAAAGGCTTTTGATTGAATTGCATGAGGAAATTTAATCAACATTAGAGACAAGTAGCAGACAGCCATTTATTTCTTCTATAAATAACATTACCATTCCATCTTCATAAAGCTTCGTCATCCATCCTTTTTTGAAGTTCAGCAGATCCGGCTGAAATTAAAAATACAGAGGGAAGCATTATTATATAATGCAAATAGAATTAGTTTAAACAAGTGTGCTAACAAGAAAACAGCGATCTGTTGAAACATTTTGTACTTCTATAACTGCTAACGTCATCAACAGGTCAAGTATTTTGTTCTTGACATAATCAGAAAATAAATGCCATCTCATTAAATACTGTATTTATGTGCATTTATTTATTTTAGCTAGGCAATACCTGAAGCTGAAAACTATGATTGCAAATATATGGTTTCAGCCACAGAGACTGACTGTCGGGAGCTGGACTTTCACTGTGAAACACAAACTGCTGCACATTGAAACCAAGCTCAAGTCTGTTTATAGACTCCAGAGTAAAGCATTCAGATAAAAGCTGGCTTTTGATCACTCAACAATACCTTGTTTTTGTTGAGCTTCATCCGGTGTGGTGTCACCGCCTGGCAGAGAGTCATTCTGATGGCTAACTGCCTTTAATTCATATGTTGACAATCTGTTGCTTTCTGACTAACCCAGGGGGAAACACATAACTCTGGTTGCTCCTGTTCTGGTTATTTATAATCATCAGTAGCAGTGGCGGCAGTGGTGTGTGTAGACGTGTGCATGTCTGTGTTGGAGTGGGTGGGGGTTTGGCAGCTGCAGCTTGGGCAGAGAGAGAGAGACCAGCCACACGCTGACAAGGTTACCCCTTAGCACTCCCTGAACAGACCACAGATCAGACTAGCAGGAGTCAGACCTCAAAAAAACACCAAGGCAATCTTAATCAACTTAACACGTGAACCTTATTTGTAATGATTTAAAAGAAGTGGGAAAAAGTTCATTGAAAACTAAAAACCACTGTACTCTGTCTTCCACTTAAGTAGGTCACTTTTAATCAACTTCCATACAATCAGGTTGATTACAAATATATAATACCAGTAACAACTAGAGAAATTGCTCATACATGCATAAGTTAGCTGAAAGGAGCATAACAAGCTGAAATTAGCAGAAAGAAGTTAGAAGAAGCACAAAAATGTTGTAGTTAGCAGAAAGAATCTGAAAGGAGCAGAAAGCAGCTGAATAAACAGCTGAAATCAGCTTAAAGTAGCTGAAAAGAAGTTTAAATTTGCACAAGGAAGCTGAAAGAAGCCGAACCAGAACAAAATGTGAAAAGAGCAGTAAATGGTTGTAAACGGAGCTAAAGATCTGAAGGATGTAAAATGAGCTCAATTCATTTTTTATGAGAAAAAAGTGGCAGAAAAGGCTAAATATTTCTACAAGCTAAAGGTGCACCAATACCAAACGTCAAAGCACCCTTCTCCTGAACAAGCTGAACGTTTTGATATATGATTTGTTGAAATAACACAAAAATTGTGGAACGAGAAAAATGATGAAAAACGTACAAATGAAAAATGGATCACAATAGTGTGATATACATATTTAAGATTTTCAGTAATGTTAAATATGTTAAGTTATTGTTTCCTGGTTAATTTTTGTATTTATGAGCCCATTTGCTAAAAAAGGAAAAAAAAACAAAGTCTACCGGGACTTAGATAAAAGAGGAAGGAAATTAAGAAATTACTGCTGGAAAAAAAAGGGGTGTTTCAATTAAAGCACACAAGGATTCAAAAGTACCATACTACTTATTCAATGCTAATGACTTGAGTCAACTAAAATACTATATTCAATATCAATATAAGTAGGCCATTCAGCATAAATACAAATAAATGAAGCTGCAGCAATAATCACCATAAACAACTGCTAGCCTTAAACAAATATAGAAAATAGCAATTGTCCAAGATTTAATTATTTTTTGTTGTGTAGCTGGCTCAGTCCACCTTCAGTTAATGGATGTTTTGGGATGCAACAAATGGACAGTGCCTGCAAAAACGTCAAGGCTGTAGTCACAGTGGAAAAACAACTTTGTTGATTTGTAGCAAAAATAAGTTACCACAGAAATGCAACGGCAACTAAAGCAGATTAAAAGAAAGCAAATTTTAAGATGAACGTATTTATCGAACAAAAAGAAATTAAACAGGAACTAAAGGGCTGCTTGTGACACAGGTTTGCCTCAAATAAATGCTTTTTTTTTCACCAGATTTAAGAAATGCTTCAATCAGTCAATAAAACCTCATTATGATTTTGATTAAAATGAATAGCTAAAAAAAATACTTAAAACTATTTACCATGAATTAAATTTTAAACCTTTTAAGTTAATTACAAAAGAGGAACAACCTTGCTAAAAAAACAAAGAGAAATAGCTTCATTTTCTACTGAGCGATAGAGTCTGATGGTCTGTTGAACGCAGGTGGGATTTGTTCTCAAAACTTACAGTCATTGATGACTCGGTGACTCTGCGATCTAGTGATTTGGCTCTTCTTAAATTGACAAAACTGGAGCTGGAAACCTCAGGGGCAAAGCAGTCCTTCCCCGTATCCAGTGACATCTCCTGTAAAGATAAAACTGTTAATTAATTTGAATAAAACTCCTCTGATCAGGAAATTACTAAACCTTGTGCGATTATTTTTGGTCATGTTTAATGACGAGAACTGCGTACGTGTTTGCCCTCCAGGTAGCGTCTCTCACTCCGGCCTTGTCTTTGAGTCACTGCAGTGTTAACTGAGGGGTTAGTGGAGCTGCTGGTATCCATACGCTCTGCATGTTGACTCTCCTCAAACCGACCGATGATTTGAGAGCGCCTGAAAGACACAAAGCAAATACACTCCAATACACGTTTTACGTTTCACTGTATAAAGTGCACAGCAAAGACAAATTATTCTTAAAAATACATCAGATGCAGCATAAAATACTTAAATGGTGGCAGAATGAAACAGTACAAACAAGCTCAAAGCGTGATATAAAAAACTATAAACGTCTAATAAAAGATACAAGAAGTTACCGTTTAGTTTTGCACAGCATTCAGATTTTTTAGATAAGGAAAAATAAGTGGCAGAGAAGATTTAATAATCCAAAGAACCATCAAGAGATACTTAAAGAGTGAAGTTATACAATGAGAAAAACTTTGCAGAAAAAAGAAAACGACTAGAATAGTGGGTTAATTATATTAAAAAGGTAGCAGGAATGGCAACACAGTCAACATTACCTTAAGACACTGCACATGTTCAAGTGTATGTACGTGAAAAATGAGAGAAACCGTTTAACTGAGAGTACAATCACCCATTTGTGCATTTATACAAAGTAAATTAAATGTTTGTCTGAAACAGTGCAGGTGTCCTCCCAGGTGGTGCAGAGATGAAATGAGAGAAAGCAGGAATCAGCGGTGACCAGCAGGGAACAGCACTGAGACAGGGGTGGAGGGGTTGGCTGAGCATTAGCTCTGAGAAGCTCAGTTCAGAAGCTCCTGGAAAAGATTGAAACAACAAAACAAAGTAGCAAAGCAGCAGGAGCAAAAGGTAAAGACCACTAGAACATTAAATTACATGTGAATTTACTTTCCCCCAAACCATTCGAGTTAAACTGATACACTAGGATAGAAAGCAGTAGCAAAAGATGCTCAAGAGGTGCGTCACAGACAGCAGCCACAGGGTGGTGCTAACTAACTACAATGCTGAATGTTTCAAGCAATGCATAATGAACTATACACACAATAATTACATTGCATGCCATCTGAAGGGTTTTAGAAATATGCCAAAAGATAAAATACAGTGGTTTTATACTGATAATCATATTTGCATCAGTGACACAAACTTACAAAAATCTGTCTAATCAACTGTATTTTTAAGTCATGGACTGTACTTATATAGCGCCTCAAAGAACTTTACACTACAATCTGTGCCCTCGTTGACCCGTTCATGCAGCACTCTGCTATGTCTATACAACATATAGAAGACGGCATGACATTTATCCTTACCTGCGCTCCTCCCCGAACAGCCGAGCCACCTCTTCCCTCCCTGGGCTTCGTGTCCGTGCCCTCAGATCTTGGCGTTTTTTCTCGGAGCGGAAGGCTTCTTGGTAGCTCAGAATGCGAGCCCGTGGCACATCCGACAGTGCTGTGTACTCCCTGCCGGACCGGCCAACTCTGCTTCCTCCAGTGCTCTCTCCAACACCACTGTGCCCCTCCCAGATAAGAGAAGCCCCACTGGGTTCAGAGTCAAGAGAGCTCTGGGAGGAGCTGATGGTGGAGTAGGTTGGGGACACAAGTGCATTTGGAGAGGGAAAAGGATCTGGGGAGGGTTGATGAGGGGACATTTGGGGATCAGATTCAGAGTTATACCTGGAACTGGGAGCTCCTAAAGAGGAGGATGAAGCTGAAGAGGACAGGGGTAGACTCTGGGGGGGCTGGGAGTGATGTGCAGACTGTGGAGAAGGTTCTGACTTGGTCTTCTCCAGGGAAAAGTAACCACTTTCCACTCGTACCTTTCGCCCAGTGCTCACTGTGCGGCCATCTGGAACACAACCACAGCACCACTTATTAGACACATCTCATCTGGGAAAAGCTCAAGCACAAACACTTTATATAAAAGTTAGATGTGATAAAACACCTGCTCTATTTAAACTAATAAAAAGTGGGATGTGCCAAAGAAGCTGCATGTCCTTGTCCTCACCATCTTGAGTGGTAACACTGGAGTCTGTCTGGTTTTGGCTCAGCTGGTTGAGACAGGAGGCACTGCGGCTGCAAGGGATGGTGGCCCTGCTCCAACGGCTCTCCTCCTGCCAGAGAGTTGCACGGCTCATCGGGACCCGCTCTGCGCTGGCAATACTGCTGGTAAGGCATGGGATGCTGCCTCCACTGCTGGTCACTGTTACCTTAGCAGGTCCAGGCTCCTGGGTATGATTCAAGAGGGATGGATGGAAAGAGTAAAGGACATAATGGGAGGGAAGGTAACAGAAGAAACAAAAAAGAATGAGAGAAAGAACAGGAATAAAGAGAAACTAAATAGCTGAGTGTAAATTTGAGATAAAGGATGGAAAAACTTGTTTTCTTCATTGTAAACCTTGATAAATTAAGTAATCATACTGAACTGTAAGCTAGTGTTAGTGGAGTCCAAAGATGAACCAATGAATAGATACTGCACACGTTTTTAAATACACAAGATCTCCTAGTTTATGACAGCACAGATTTTCACAAAACTGTTTGTTTTGAATTTTGATGAATCAAATAAATCAGAAAAAAGAATGATACATATTTAAGGCCAGAATAAGGTAATGTGGAAAGAAGCAAGAGGTCAACAGCTTGAATCAAATTCATTCATGGCAAATGCACCTGTGATCAGAGAAAAGATGAAAACACATGTGGAGATTTTGCAAATCTTTAAATGATTACCAAATGCAAGGTAAACCAAATCAGTGTTCAAATATGTTGCATTAATTTAGGAAATCCTTTCAACAATCAACAAAATGCATGAAGTCGTCCTAACATGAGAGAACAATCATTCCAAAGTGACTTTATTACGGTAATCAACTTTTTTACCAAGTCAACTGCAATCACCATAAACATGCCAAGAATTTTCTGCATCAGAGATAGAAGCAAAGATTATGCTTTTTTTTAACCCATCACCTTGTTGGGACTGATTTTTTTAAATTTTTATAATAGTTTTAAAGCTGGAAAATTTTGAAGATGCGCAGTAAGCAAAGTTTGGCTGTGCTGAACTCACTGGGTGTCCATTCATGTCTTTAGTGGAAAAACACTGGCTTGGCTTTACTCCACCCTGCCAATCACAAGAGCCTTCTGAAGTTATTGCTTGTTGGGTAATGTTGAATATTAACACATGTGCATTAAAACATTAATAAATAAAATAATCACCTTAATTTTACAGGGCCAAGTTATTTAATTTTTGTGTTTTGTTTTTGACACAAAAAGTTGGATAGAAACTACAAATTTAAGCAAGATTAAATTTTTTTTTGATTTACAGTTTTTATCATTTTCACAAGTGTACAAACCATACGCTGTGGGGTAAGAGGGGGCAAGGACTGGTGTACGCTTACGAGAGTTAGTTTCAGGTGTTTGTAGTTTACCACAAATATCTGAATGTCTAGCTATACATTTTAAACAATTTTGAGATGTGTACCCATGTAGAATGACAATAATTATGTCTTAATAGCATCCCAGAGAGAATGTGTGAGTTGCAAAGGATGCTGGGTAGTTTTGTGGCAATTATGTGTGCAATGTTTCTGACTATAATGTTTCTGAGTGTGGAACTGAGTTGTTCTTGCTAAAGTCCTGTTCAGGTTCGGTTTGGTATTTATGCTGAAGTCTCTGTTGTTGCCAGTATGTATAAGGGGGAAAGCACTTCCAGTTGGAGGGAGCAAGTGTGTACCAATTAGGGGTTGAAAGAGTATATAATTTTTAAACTTGACATTAACATAATAAAACCTGAGTAGAACTAGAGTATTTGATGTCATAGATCTCAAGATACAAAAATAAATACATAAGTAAAACTGCAAAAAAGGTAATTATTTACAAAAAAAAAAAAAAGACCAACAAAACATTGGGAGCGTATATTATGCTCTCCACTGGACCCGGTGTTACACCCATGACTGTATTTGCACTGGCTCCAAAGCAAACGTCTCCTGAAAAGCATGAAGAATAAAAATGGGGAAACAAGCTCTCAAGCACCTGGACAGACGTGGATCTGACAAGATGAGGTGTGGAAAATATAAACCTTAACACACTAATAGATACTCAACTGTAATCATCTGTCATATTTAGGAGACAAAACAAGTGAGTGGCTACTGTCATTGACAGAATCTGACAAACAGTGAGAGCATCCCCACACCTACACATCATTAACACTAAACATGTAGGTTTTCTGCAACCACTGAAGCTATTTTAAGAGCCATTCATTCCACCCACACATAAAAAACTACTGCTATGATAAAACATTAACAAGGTTTTAAACTTCTAACACAAAAACAATGGAAACAATGCTTGGGTGAGTACATAGAATGTGAATGAATCCATTTTTCTAACAAAACTGATGAACGTCAAACATAAAATAACTATGAAAAATAACTAAATGTGACTTCACTTTATAATAAAAATTATAATGCACTGCTTAATTTACCTAAAAAAATTCAGTGATGTGCTAACTAAAAACCCATTAGATTTTTTTATGTTATTTTTGTAATATTGTGCAAGTCACTCTTTCTGGTGGGTTCAAATAATTTGTCACATTCAAACCCAGCAGGTGACATGTTCTCACACTACACAGGATTAACTATTAAAACCTGCACTTTTTAATATTTTATGATAGTGCTATGGTCTCAAATTTGTACTTTGCTTGCTACTAAATTACTGACAGACTTTGAACTTTATGTTTGTGTCTATTTTTATCTTTTATTTATCTCACTGTCAATGAAAGTCCAACAACAGGGGCAGATTGGACAGACCTTCGCCCAACACAAAACAAAAAAGTTTTAAAGGATGTTAAACACAAATGATGGGTGACATATGCAACATTGTCACAGTCAAAACTGTCCCCGCTGTTTCTCAGCAAATGAGCCCATTTGTGTAAGTCAAACAAGGTCGCAGTGTTGTTCCAGGCGCCGTCATTAGACAAATCAGACAACGAACTTTAGAAAATTCTGTGTGCTCACCACAAATTTGGCCTGACATCAGAAAGGAGGCAGGGAAAGGAAAAATGTGTTTCTTTCAGTGGGTGGTCTACATTATAATATAGCATGTGTCTATATTTAACAGTGAAGCCATTTTTATGGTAATGTAGTCTTACAAAGTCCTGTTTCGATCTTTACATTAAAGAAGTCAGCAGCACACGCGAGCGTGCACTGAAAATGAAGAATGTCTTCTTCCTCCTCTGGTTTGTGCATCTGAATGAGTCTCACCTTCCTCTCACACTGTTAAATGTAATTGCTTTGACGCAACCTTGAATGATAATATTTAATATTTCTGACACATGTCTCTAAATTCATTCTGAAAACTTCATTGTTTCTTAGAAATAGACTTCAAAGGGTCAACTTATCTGGACTATATGGACACATTTCTCAAAGTTTGTTGTTGCAGGCTCACATATCAACATCTGCTAAACTTGACTAAAAGGGATCAGTGTTATTAGGTTATCAATTAATATCTGTTATATCTTAGATATGAGAAGTTATCTACTTCATGTAAACACTTGAACATTACTTCATAATCTGACAATTGTAAAAGTTGAAAATCACCATTGAAAGGTTATGAATAATTGTAAATGTATTGCAAGTGTAAACTGCAGGAAAAAAAAAGTTTTCACATCAAATCATGGCACGATCAAATAAAACATTATAAATCCTTTAAACTGAAAACCCACTGATCATTGCAAAAAAAAAAAAAAAAAAAAACTGGCCCAAAAACTGGCAGTCTATCATTCAAACAGATGGAATATAAAATGTTGCAAAAGTTGTTGGCAGAAAAACGTTCTATCTGTCTCTTTTTGAGGGGAAAAAGCTGGTGTAGGTCTAAGGGAAAGCTTCAAACTGCATATTTCCATAGCAGAGGTCATACATAAATATGCTCTTTCTTTGTAGTTCAGGAAAAATGGCACAAAAGCAAGATTATAATGTTCACCTGATACAGTTATAATATAAAGCAGCGACCACCTTAAAGTTGAATGCATTGTTAAATCTTTTTTTGTCTATGCTGAAGAACATTTGAGCACATTACCAACCAGTTAAAGATGAGAAAAGGTGTTGAGTTTTAAATCCTGTAACAACAGCTCCTAGAATTAGACCTTAGGAAACAAAATAAAAGTAAATATAGCGCAAGCAGAGACAAGACTACCGACAGTGAAGCACAAGGTTTATGGAGACGTAATGGAAAGAATGGTTTATAAACCGAGTTGAACTGGTTTAAATGCCTGACTAACGTTATGTTACTCAACGTACCTACCTGCACAGGTGTTTTAATAACGTGGACTATTTCAATGCACAACTCAACAAGAACCTACAAAAAAGGAATCAGTAATAACTGTTGAAAGGCAATAGAGGAAAATAAACAAGTCTTCATAAAGAGCCCAAATCAAAGTAAAATCTGTAATTTTTTAATGAGGATGTCACACAAAAATAACTGAATAAATAGGCATTTATCCTAATTTAAAGTTATTTACACGTAGTCATTTCCCTTTAGTGCACTGAAGGGCTGAAAAAAATGGTGTAATCTGAATAACCTGGTTACAGCAAAAACATTTGACTTGATGCCTTTTTATGCTGCTCAGTGGTTATTGCATTTCACTGGGGAAGTTATTACTGGGGCACAAGCTTGAGTTAGACTATGGACAATGAAGGAAGCAAAAAGAACAACAAGGAGAAAAACAAAGGAGAGAAAAGACCCAAATCACTCAATGCTTGAGACTATAATAAACTAAAGAAAAGCAAAAAAACAAACAAAAAAAACCTATGTATTTGAAACCGAGAATGAGTTATCCTGGATAACTAAAGGTTAAATAATTTGTAGACTGTAAAATTGACAGCTTTTCACAGAAACGCAAGGTCAACAACTTTGTACAAACAGCAAACCGATACATTTTTTATTAAAATGACATTCATAAGAGATAATCAGTCTTTACAATCAAACCAAAAACTAGATGCAGTTTCCTAAATTATGCACAAACTGGTTATGGATGACAAATGGGGAGCAGTATCAGTACAAGTAAAATGACCCAGTGGCCCTTTGTGTGCATCTTTATACTTAGGTTTGCATCATGCATTGAGAGGGAAAACAATAATTGTACCACAACTGACAACTATTAATAAATAGAGACGTGCATATATCTCTCATTCCTTTTACCCTGTTCAGTGAAAGAAAATAAAAATGTTATCATAGAAATGGTGAGTCAGTACCTGCTGAGTGGGAGGATCAACCTTGCGTTTTTTCTTCTGGTTCTGCTTGTTGGTCCTGGGGTACACGGTCAGCGCTTCCTGCCACCTACAGATAAAACAGTCAGTTTAAAGGTTAAAATCAGAAAATATATCAATACATATAAAGAGTTAAAACTTTGTTTGACAAAACCTAAATAAGAATGTCTGCTTTGTGAATTTGCTCCAATTTGTTACACATCAATATTTAAGGAATGGAGTAGACAAGATTCATTGTCATGTGTCACACACTCCCTCAAGCTAGAGGTTAATTATGCTTTTGTTTTGTTTTTGTTGACAAAGAAAGGCGTGTCTGGTGCTGTGGAAGTTGGGTAGAAAATAGTTGAGACACCTAAAACATTTCACCTTATCCTGCCTCACACATATTTAGGGGCAACCAGCCAAATAAAAGACTCAAACAGGATGTGCAGACCCACTGAAACAGCACATGCTCACAGTTTCTTCACTAAGTAGAAGAGGCCATCTCGCCGCTTACCAATGGGCAATTTTGGAAGACTCTTTCTGTCCTGGCTTTGTTCGAAGAGTTGATGCAACAGCAAGCTCCTCAGATTTTCTAACACATTTTCAAAGTAATTGTAACAAGAGTAATTGCATTAGTTAGTATTTGTACTGGTACTCAGAATCAGAAATTCTGGCATCCCTAATTCAAATCATCGAGGATGTTTGTAACAATTAGCTTTTATTACTTTTTTAAATTATTGAAGTCTACTGGGTACAAAACAAAACAGACCCCCGTAATGATAATGATGGGTGTTTTGTTGGATATACAGTAAATAAACTCTGTGCTTAAAAAGAATGAACCTTTTCAGCGTTTCCCTTAGATAACTTGCCATGGCGGGGAGCTCATCTCGCCCGTGATTTTTGTCGAAGAGGGGGAAGAACGGAGCTGCGGGCTGTTTGTACTGACAATTTTGGAGGGGGTGGGGGTGCAGAGACACATCTGAGCTGCACACTGTTTGTACAGACAGTTTTCGAGCCGGTGGGGTGTTCAGCGTGAGGGAAAAGGCAGCATGAGCGCTGCTATTAGCTTTTTAGCTAGCGTGCCTGTATTGTGCACCGCAAGCTTAGCGCTACGTCAGTGCCAACGGGCGGAGTGGGGGGGGGGGGGGGGGCAGATTGGTTCGGCAGGCAGGGTTTTCGGTTCTCTTGATGGGGTGGTGCGATCCGCTTGTATAATGGTAGGGGAAACACTTGCTTTTACTAATTACTCCACAATAATACTCTGGCGTTTATTCCACATGGGCACGCATGCAGAAAAACTGTATTCTATGTATTTACTCAGTAAACATTAAATTAATCTAAGCCTAACATTTTTTTAATCTAAATAACTGTTCTTAGGTTGTCCTATTAAAACAAGGTCAATTTTGCCTAAACCTTGTATATATATATATATATATATATATATATATATATATATACACACACATACATAAATATATATACATACATACATAAATATATATACACCAGACTCACTCGTGATTCTATAGTTGTCACTCTACTTCTCATTTTTTTCAAACATTTATGATTTAAGTACTTAAGAACTTCAGATATGTATCTTGTATCAGAAACTATTAGAATAATCAAGTTGTGATCTTAGTTTAAAACACAAATCAAACAATTCTCTAAAACTCACACTGTAGTCACAGATGTTGAGGAGGTAAACATGAAGCATTTTAATTGAACGAGTGCCCAGACAGCATTGTGTTCATAATTGTGTGCGTTAAAAGACATTCAAGAAAAATATATTTTATTGGACAAAGGAAAATATATAACACTTGGCAGTTAATGACAACCTTGAAGGGACAAGTATGGTTGTCTGAATGCCTACAGCCAACACATGGGCGCCAGATGACAGGAGCGTGGGAGGTGTTCAATGATGGAGCAGGTAACATAATGAAGAGTGGGTGTTGAGAGTCACAGCTCTCTAAGAATAGCCATAGCATGCAAGTTTGAGCCATGGAGAAGGCAGCACAGAAACCCTCTTCATACAGCAGAGGACAGGCAAGAAAAAAATTAGATTATGAAGAGTAAAGTTTGTGTATTGTACTTTGTCTTGAAGTTTGAGGGTTTGAAAGCGCAACAAGAGTGGCCGGATCGACAGGAAAAGAAAACAGTTCAAGAATGTGCATTGTCACTGCAGAGGGAATTACAGCTCTGGAAAACACAGCCTGAAGCTGACAGCAGGGGGCAGAGCAGCCATGGCAGCACCACCATAGTTGTACACAACCATTTTTCCTTCAGCTCAGTGAGCCTTGTACACTCATCTAATCTACTGTATTTACAGACATACTGTGAGTTTGTTTGCAAGGACATGCAGAGGGCTGTCGTGACAGAAAAGGGTGCCAGGAATAAGGTGAGATAGAAGTGGATGATCTGCTGCAGCAAACCTTAATGGAAACAAACAGAAGAAGAATAGCAGATATAATGGTTGCTATGGTAGCAAAAACTCATCTTACCCATTGATGATTTCTTTGCATTCAGCTCGTATGAAATGCTCTTTCTCTGGGGTGAGGATGCACAGAGAGTTCTTCTGACCTGTCCTGGACTCACCATCGATGACATCAGAGCACTGGTTCATATTGATTGTCCCTTGGGGTAGCGTGCTGGGCTGAAGGATCACAACAAACAGATGCAACAAAAGTGTTAAATTGAGAAGTGAACAGATGGGTCCTCAAGACCCTCCACATGGTGTGTCTTTACACAGAGCCAAAGCCAAGCGTCACACAGCCTGTGCACTGGCAAAATGTTCTTGCTGAGGCTTGGAATATTTTGCAGCGTTTAAAATCAAGTTATTGCATAAGCTGCATGCACAGCTTTTTAAAGACAGGCATGGACACTACAATGCAGCTATGATTAATTTAGTGTATAACTGTTGTTTGAGAATAATACAGTGGTAACGGCAAAACCCCGCATTCAAGAACTGTACAGTCACCTGATATTAGGTCACCAGGAAAAACAAAACAAAGGACTGATTATACTTGGTTGTGGACAAGAACAGATAACTTTGCTCCTCTGTGAAAATATAGAAGGTCTTAGTTACCAAATCAGACCAAAATGTTCATTAAAAGAGCATTTTTTTTAAAGAGGTACATCACACAAGTGGTCCAGTATTCAACTGTACGGTCACAACAAATGACCAGTAAATGCTCATTTGCAGAACCCATGACAATTTCTGATGATTGCATGTATGCCCTACCAAAGCCCTGCACAGCAATTTACCAGGTTGTAGTGGCACTCTCACAAAAATATTAATGAGGCTCTCATTTTGTAAATAATTATGATTTTTAATGATATTCATTTTTTTGTCCAAATGTGATTTCACAAGCACCATCCTATCAAAATCAGTATTGCATTAGAAAAGGGAATGTAAAAACTAAATAAAGTAAATTTATAAAACAGGACAAGTCCATATTTGTATCTTTTATTTTAAAGCTTTCCGTTCGATGCCTAGCTGTGAGGTTCAGACTCCGCAGCTATGAGTATTGTCATTGATGCTGTCAGCTAAATAAACATAGCATGACTTCAAGAGTAACCCTGCCTTGTGTACAATGACTTAGGGTGTTACATGGAGGTTTAAGTAAATACACACTGGCTTTGAAAAGCAAGTCCGGCTCATTTGCAATGAATAGACATCTAAGACAAGCAGTTTAAAAGAACAGAAATGTTGCATTTTATTGCAATACACCCTGTGAGACACACTTGCAGTGAGTTCAAACACTTTACAGGTTAGTTACTGAAACACGTTTCAAGTTACCCCCACAAACGCAGACTACGGAGTTGCATTTATGTTAACCACCTTTTCAACGTGACGGTCACAACTAAGACATTTCATTCAGCCTTTTGTTTTTCTTCAGGCTAATTTGTTCCTTTATCTGTCTACTGCATGCGCTCCCAAAACTGATCAAGCTTTTTAAGATGTTGTGAAGAGAGGAGATTTTTGTTTAGTAGTAATTTGTTTTAAAGATAGTCACAATTCACAACTTTAGTTTTGTGTGAAGCCTAATCCTTTGAATGTTATCAAGCTAACAATGTTTTTCTCCTTGCGATGTACTAAACCAATTCTTTAACCCCTCATAATGATCTCACGTCTGATAATTGAAAGAAATAATGTTGCGTTCACAAGTTCACAAGTTCACAATTCTCCCTTGCCCCTTTGCCAATGTCATATTTAACCTAATAGTTGCAATAAACAAGTTTTAAATTAACTTTCCAATACAGCCATGTGAAAGAGACAAGCTACATATTTAGATATTAATAAAACCTATAAGGATGCATTTAACTTAATATCCATATTACAATAAAAATAAACTTAAGCCACCACGACCTGACTTCGGAACGTCATTTTGGTATGGAAAAATAATCCCAAACCTCATTAAGAGTTGTACACATGCATTTATGAAAGGCATCACACAAAATAAATTAAAAGCAAAAATTACTGCAAGTTTAGAAATGTACTTTTTACTCAGTCTGACCTCTAAATGACTTGTGCAAGTCAGGGTAATCTTTTGTTGACTTGGGGATTTATATTTGTACAATGAGGTAGATGTGCACTATGTAACAAAGCACACAGGGAATGGGTAACTGAACAGGTTTACAGTCCGTGTAATAAGCATACAGACAGAACATTAAACACCAAAATACCACAATGGCACTTTCCTTAAACTACCAGACCATAGATTATGAATTACCACCTTCACATTGTGCACATTTGTATAAGTTAATATAAAAAATTGGAAACAAAATTAAAAAGTTTGAAAAAGACCAAATACATCTGACTGTGTTGTATGAGTATATCCTGTCTGCAACAGAGCTGATGGATTGTCTTTATAGTGGACCGACAACAATCAAAAGTTTGTGTTGACACCCTGTGGGTAGAAGAGAGGCACCGTCTATCATTTTACTGTAAATATGTGACTTTGATTAACAACTCCTTAATCAGTCAAACTTGCAAAAATAAGTCGAATTTGTCATACACATAAAAGCAGGTTAATCTAACAAGCTTAAACAAAACATAAAAGGCAGATTGTTCTGACATGTTGGATGACAGAGTAAGTTCTCAGTGACCCAGTCATTCTTTGTTTACCTTCATATACTCATGACTTTAAAATGACCTACAATAAAGGGACTCTTGATATAAACGAAAAAAGATAAGGGGAACATGCTGACAAACAGCTGGGCAAAGACTTGGCCTGATTAAAACTGAGCAGAGAGACAGCTTGAACTGGGAGCGCTCATCATTCTCAGACATAAACAAAGGATAAAAATTTGAAGACTAAAGAGAAGTTAGGAATCTTGAGCTGGTGGATATTAATAACAGCAGCGCAACAAAGGAAGAAAGAGGGTTTGTAGACTGACTTTGAACTGCTCAGCCATCGGTCTGTGTAAACAAATCTAGAGTACACTGCACATGTTGACTTGTCCTTGAGCAGGAATCAAAAGAGGATAAACAGCTAAATATTTCTAAATCTGAGTACAGTTGTACAAGCAGCTTAAGCCTCCTATTTTATAATCACTGCACTGGATTCTCTATGGCACGCACGCACGTATGTACGCACACACACACACACGTGCACACACACACAAATCAAAGATTGAAAACGCTTTTGAAAAATAAAATCACATATGCTCATGATCAATGGTTCTTACATAAAGGTTGTAGCCAAGTGCAAATTTGTTATTAAAAAAAAAATATTTTTTTAAATCACAGGTTATATGAAATCTCACTCAACTCCAGCATTGAGCGTGGTATGAAGGGCCATCCACCGTGGATCAAGCCCCCAGATCCAGGCCTCCAAATCTACACCTGTCACCAAATCTAGACCCTGTCTGTTTTTCCTGGGCCACCTCTTTCCACAGTGGGTCCTTTGTTAATCAACACAAGTTCACACAATGTGGAACTGTCAGCAATCTCAGCCCATAGATTCTCTCCTAGCATTAACCCTCAACAAGGCAATGATCCAAGAGACAATAAGCACAAACAAAATTCTCGATGAGATCAAAGCGTGGAAATAATGAGGTCAGAATAAATTTAGTCTAGTGTCCCTCACTCATGAACAAAACCCAGAGATACTTGAACTCCTCCACTTGAGGCAGAACCTCACCCTCGACCCAAAGAGAGCAATCCACCCTTTTCTGGTTGAGGACCATGGCCTCAGATTTGGAGGTGCTGATTCTCATCCCAGCCGCTTCACACTTGGCTGTGAACCACTCTAGTGAGAGTTGAAGATCACAGCACGATGATGCCAACAAGAACACATCATCTGCAAAGAGCAGAGACGGAATCCTCAGGCCACCAAACTGGAAACCCTCTGCCAGCAGGTTGCACCAAGAAATTCTGTCCATAAAAGTTATGAACAGAATCGGTGACAAGGGGCAGCCCTGGTGGAGTCCAACTCCCACCCTGAAGGGGTCCAACTTACTACCGACAATGTGAACCAAACTCTCGCACCGCTTGTAAAGGGACTGAACAGCCCGTAAGAACGGCCCCCCAATCCCATACTCACGGAGCACCCCCCACAGTGTATTGTAATGTAATTCAACGTGATTGATTGATATCGGTATCACTTCAAAAGTTTAGAGATCTTTTGCTTGCCTGATGCCAATG